AATTAATAAAAATCTCTGAATTGTAAAATGTTTTCAAAGCTATGCATTGCTTTGAAATGCAAGAAAGGATCACTTAGTCCAGATCTTAAAGAAAACTCTTTTAATTAATAAAGAGCAATTTAAATTCACCTATAAATTGTGTATCCACAGTAGTGGTCAATGAAGTATTTTAAGGGATTTCTGAAATAATTTGCACTTTTCCCCTCAACTATTTAAGGAAAAATTTTTTTCTTCCTAGCTAGTACAGCCCTTCTCTAACTTACCATAGCTTCCAAAATAATAGTGTCTAAATTTATAGAATTTTACCATACAGCCAGCACTTTATTGTCTTTGCTATTTGGAAGAGAGCATTGGCGTGAATAACCAAAAAAGTCACGCTGATGTATCTTTGAGATAATATAGGATTTCCTTCTAGTAGATTCATTACCTAGCTTATTCTTTCATGCATTCAGCAGATATTCACATGTCTAATCTTTGCCAAGCCTACATTCACGTTCTACTTAAGAGACCTGAGATTAATGCAGGAATTATGCTATAAAAGTGTCCTACTGGGCAGATAATACAAATGAGTTGAATAAATACATGAAAGGATAGGTGAATGAATGGATAAATGAGTGAATGAATGTATCCCACACGTTATCTTACAGCTGAAAGGGATCCCAAGAGAAAATGTAACAGAAAGTTACTTAATAAATATTAGGCATTTTGTCCTCAACAGAATTTAGAAAGTTAAGGTGAAAACAAAGGGAAATTTAAAGAGGAAAAAAAAAAACAAAAGCAAAACTGGCTGAAGAGAGGCAGAATGAAAAAAAGAACAGAAAAGTATTTTTTAATCACCAAAATAAAATCACATTAGAAACAGAAAATGAAACACTACATGAAATGAACGAAATGAAGGCAAGCTTAAGAATTACTTGGCAAATGCAGGACAAGGGACAAGGAGCTAAAAACAATTAGATACCGGGTGACAGAGAGAGCCAAAGAAACAGACACAGAGCTTAAAGATTTGACAGAAGAAAGAAGAAGAAGGAGGAGGAAGAAAAGAACACGTTTTACTGAGTGGAGACTATTTTGCAAACTGAATACCCCAAATATTCCAGCCAAAATTAGTAAGAAATTAATAGTCTCTTCATCAAATCCTGGCAAAATTTTTGAAAATTTCAGGCTACCGAAAAAATCCTACAATCATCTATAAGAAAAAAAGTGAATAAGTAAGAACAACAATGTGTTACTTAAAGGGAAATTTTAAAATAGTCTTGCCTCAGATTTCTCAAAAATGTTAAATGCCACATGGCAATGAATGGTGTGAGCACAGTCTCTGAGAAAATAGTTATACAGTGTTCCTAATCTATTTCCAGTTAAGGTGTATTTCTTGGTAAGGAGAAGAGGAAAAGTTCTTATACATTCAAGAATTCATAATCTCTCCTACTCACTAACCTGCTTTTGTAGGAAAAATACAGCAAGGTCCTCCACTGTCAACTAAGAAATGAATCTTAATCAGTATCTCAATCATGGCGATTGAGATATAAAAGGAATGATGTGAAATATAAAAGGATGAGAAATGTTAAATTAATTTAAAGATAAATCTCAGTCTAAGTTTTTTTAAGTAGTCTAAGAAGATAGTAAATCTTAAAAAAAAACATTAAAATAAGACATATGATGAAAAATAATAATGTAAAATGATCTGAATTTCAGATCCCATATTACATCAAAAAAAAAAACTAGATTGGAGACAGATACTAGAAGTAGAAGGTTCTACTTTTCTCATCCGTGGAGGATTAGGAAACTAGGGGACATTTTTATTTATAACATCGATAATCAGATAAATGTTTGGGCGTTCAGTTATTAACTTGTTAAAAATTGGGGAAAGGTAATACAGGTAAGACATTCCATCCTGTTCCCACTGCCCTATTCTCCACCCTCCCTCACTCATCTGTGCTCCATGTTTCTCCTTGTAGGTAGCAGCCCTGTCTGTCCAGTCTACATGAGGTACAGCTTTCTTTTTCTTTTTTTTTAGTTTGAGTCTCTCTCCATCTCCCAGGCTGCAGTACAGTGGCACATTCACCGCCATCCCAGTGTCAACCTGCTAGGCTCCAGCAATTCTCCTGCCTCAGTCTTCCAAATAGCTGGAACTACAGGCGCACGCTTCCACGACTAATTTTTGATTTATTGTAGAGACAAGGTCTTGCCAGGTTGCTCAGGTTGGTCTCAAACCTGTGGGCTTAGGCAATCCACTTGCCTCGGGCTCCCAAAGTGCTAGGACTACAGGCTGAGCCACAGAGCCCCGCCCAGAATGTATTTCTTAATCTTGCTTACTTCAGAAAAAAAAAAACTATAAGATAATTGGAAATAAGTTTATTAAGAGATGTGTAAGATCTACCTATATTATGATGAAGAGAGATCCTAGATCAAACGCACTGGTGTAAATATCAGCTCCAGTGTTTAATAGCTATGACTTTAGGGAAGCTTAACTTTTCTGTATGCATTTATTTGTATAAGAAAAGACTAAAAAGATATATACACCCCCTGATGGTTTAGGGTCAGCCTAGCTTTTATAACAAAATTTAAGGCAAATATCTCTGTGTATTAGTTTTCTATTGCTGCTATAACCAATTAACACAAACTTAAAAGCTTAAAACAACACCCATATATTATCTCGCCACAGTTGTTCAGGTCATCTTGGTTCAGTGTGGCTGAGCTGAGTGTTCTATATAAGAGTATCAAAGGCTGGGATCAAGGTGGGCGTGAGGCTGCATTCCTTTCTGGAGGCTCTGGGGATAAATCTGCTTCCAGGCTCCTTCAGGTTATTGACTGAATTCAGCTCCTTGTCTTTGTAGGACTGATGTTCCCATTTCCTGATAGCTGTCAGCTGGAGGCCACTCTCAGCTTTTAGAGACCACCTATACTGCCTGACTCATAGCTCTTTCTCTTCGGAATTAGCAATGGTGGATCGTGTCCCTCTCACACATTGAATCTCTCTGAACTCCTCTTCTGCCTCATCTCTCCTGCTTTCTCTTTCTCCACATCTCTCTGACAACTTCTTCCCTTCTCTTCTGACTTTAAGTACTCATAGGATTACATCGGGTCCACCTAGATAATCTCCCCATTTTAAAGTCCGCTGATCGGTGACCTTATTTACATCTGCAAACTCCCTTCTCACCAGTACCTAGATTAATATTTGATTGAGTAATCAGGGGATGGGAATCTTGGGGCAACATCTTTAGATCATACAATGTCACAAGATTAAGGACAAAATACCCCAAGGACAACCATCTCAGACTCAGATTTTAAAACCTCAAATATGATATCTGAACATAATGAAGTTCCTATTCTTATTTCATATTTCTTTCACAGACGAGACAGTAGAAACCTAAAGTGCCTTGTCCAAGGCTACAGAGTTAATAACTATTGAGAATGAGAACAAAGCCTCGCCCCACCCAGCCAAGATGATGCTCTTTCCACAATGCATTTTCTCCTCTCTTTGAGTGAGAGTTGAGTCTTTTTCTTGCCATGAGTTTTCAGACAGTATTATAATGCCAATATCAGTCTTTGGCTTCTGCAAGTAAATTTAAGCATTTCTAGATGTACAGTTTTTTCTGAAGCCCACAATAACTTCCCTAAGAGAGACTTGAATAACCAGTTTGGTATAGTGGACAGAACAGGACCTGAAGTCAAGAGGCTTACCAATTTCCTCAGTTGTGAGATAGAGCCAACAAAGACTGCCTCCCAGGGAATAGGAATAACCCTAAGAACTAAAGTATCACCATGTTCACAGAGCATGTGTTTTACCTACTGTAAGTTGTGTTGCACATGTCATGATAATAGTGGCAACATCTCTTTTTGGTCAGAAAGCCATACCATGTCTTCCATGTTCTCTCTTGCCAGAGGAGGCACTGCAGGAGGAAAAGAATCCTCAAAACCAATTACTTACAGCAATCTTGGGCATCATCTGAGGTTACCCTAACTCTTAAGAACCAAATGAGATTCCTCTGAGTATTGAATTCCACAGCCTAGCAAAATTCTAAGACTTCTCAGGATTTGGGGGGAGGAAAGGCTTTCAACTTCTCATGCTCCCCTCTGTGTCCAGGCTCCTGCAATGTTGCTTATAGTCTCTGCACCTCTCTACGTGGACCCAGATTTGAAACTCAGCACCCCCTTTTGTTCCCTGAAATTATCCTCATTTACAAAAGCATTAATGAACAAAATCTGTTTCCCTGAAAATTTTATACTTCTCCTGGAGAAACAATGTTTCATTGCATATGCACAGCAAACAACTTAAAGATCCAGAGTAGATAACAACACTCCACTTGGAATTTCTCTCTTTGACTTAGCCTCCACATTTTCTTAGTTTCACCAGTTTCTTTCCAATCACTCTTCCACCACCCCATCCAATATCAAAGTCATCTTCCTTCTGGTCAGGCATGGTGGCTCACACCTGTAATCCCTGTACTTTGGGAGGCTGAAGCTGGAGGATCGCTTGAGGCCAGGAGTTTGAGACCAGCCTGGGCAACATAGCAATCCCTCATCTATAAAAAAAAAAAATTAGGCATGATGGTATGCACCTGTAGTCCCAACTACTAGGGAGGCTGAGGCAGAAGGATTGCCTGAACCCAGGAGGTTGAGGCTGCGATGAGCCATGATTGTGCCACTGCACGCCAAACTGGGTGACAGAATGAGACCTCTACCAAAAAAAAAAAAAAAAAAAAAAAAAAAATTATCACCCTTCCCAATACAGAGCAATCCCACTTTCCCTGGCTTCTATTCCTTCACTTATATATATAAGTCAGTCAGGTGCTCAGCAGACCAAAGCCCTTTGCTTTAACAGGACCCCACAACTGCCGAAGAGGAGTTGTAGAAATAGAAATAGCCATTTTTCCTATTATATGTGATTAAGCCCCTTTGCTGACTTGTGGTCAAAACACTACATGGTATTTGTCACATGGTTCTGTAGCCCTGTTCTTAAAGGAATTGCCTTTGTCATATTTGTTTTTGTTCCAAAGGTGTTCCTCTGCCTAATATAACTTGGTTGAAGAGAGGAGGACCTCTGAATGACAATGTTTCCTTGCTTTTCAATGGATCCCTGTTGTTGCAGAACATTTCCCTTGAAAATGAAGGAACCTATGTCTGCACAGCCACCAATGCTCTTGGAAAGGCACTGGCAACATCTGTACTCCACTTGCTAGGTAAGTGTCAAATTCTTAAGTGTCAAATCCTTAAGGGCCTCCTATAATGTGTACAAAGTTGGACTCAGTTTTGTTAATTCTGGAGTCAAGGAGTGAATACAATGGACATTAGATGATTTTAACCATTGCTACCACTGCTGTCTTTCAAATGAGTACTAACGCCTTGTCTTAGCACTTCTTCTCTTTGACGGTTGTGATTATCTTGATGGTACTCTTCGGCTTAAGAACGTGCAATGGAATATAAACTTTTCTATCCAGAATTAAGACCCTTTATGTTCTGCTTCTAAATCTGCTTATATCCTGACACCCCCTTCTAATCTAGCACTGAGGTTTGCTCTAGTCAAGCTGGTTGCCTGCCCTGTTATCCCACATGCATACATGCACACACACACACACACACACACACACACACACACACACACACACACACACACCATGCTCCTCTCCTCTTTGAGGCTTCCAGGTATACTGCTGTCCCAGGAAGAAATGTCCTTCACTGTTGTATCTCACATTACCCAAGTCTCCCCCACCATCCCATCCTGTAGGACCAACTGAATTTCTACCTTCTGTTCAATCCTTCTCTGATTTTGTTTGACCTCCTTTCCCTGGTCTCACTACTTGGTACCTGATTACATCCTCACATATTTTTCTCAGATTGTTTCCTCTTAGTTGGGGCAGTATTGTGATATAGAGAAGGCCATCACACTGTGCCCCCAGGACAGGACAAGGAGTTGACTTCTCCTATCTCCTAGGCATAATATCTGGAGCTCATTAAACTCTAATTACCAAAATGAGCTTTAAGTGGCTGGGACTTGGGGGCTTAATGAATAACACCCCTATTTCCCAACAAAGTTTGAAATCAATTTAGAATTCATCACAGAGTCAATCAGATAGACATCAGACATCCTTTACTATGCCACTCTGTATCCCCAACACCTAACACAGGTGTAAGTGTTAAATAAGTGTTTCATGAATGATAGAAATTGACTCACTGGCAGAACTAGTATGAGATTATAGAATCTATTGCTGAACCAAGAGGAGGGGATGTGATAGAGCCTTCTCAGTGCCCTTCCTTGTTGGCAGTGAGAGGGGCCCAAAGATATGAAGATACACCGGGAGATGAGAAAGCAGGGAGTTGGAATAGCTGTCACACACAAGGCACACTGATGCTCATTCACTCTTGTGACTTCACAATAGAAATGTTGCAGACAGTAATTGTTTATCTCATTGTATTCATGAGATGCTGAGGCTCATGGGGAGTTTGGACTAGTGGCCAGGCATGTAGTCTTTTCTTTCAGTGCTGTTCATACTACCCCTTGTGGACTCTTAGTATTGATCAGAAAGTCAGTGGTGTACTGTCATGTGGTGCTTCCATAAAATAGCTGGATATATAGGTCATAGGTTTATAAACAGATATATAAATAATAGGTTTCCAGCCTATTCCCACAGAGTCTCTGTGATCTTCCAAAATCTGGAGATGGGAGAGTTTCCAAAATCTCCAGATCTTCCAAAATCTGGAGATGGCTAGGTTAAACTTGTCTGGTTCTTGAACAAGTCCTCTGAGAAGTCCTAGCCTTCTTACACGCTTCTGCCCCTCTCCACTTAGGAATCTCATGGTTGTCTGTCTCCTGCCTTACACACCTCTTCTTTTAGGAATCCCCTCCAGCTGAGCAGCTCATGACTTTGGTAGTTTGACCGAGGGATCAAGTCACAGTATTTCTCACTTGACTGAGGAATAAACATTCCTCCACCACCCTCTGCTCTTACACTCAAGCTCTCAAGCTTCACAACCTTCCTAAAAGGTTGTGTGCGAGGTCCCCCAAGGAATATCATTCATTCTTCTCCCAAGGCTCCTCTTGAGAAGAGGTGCTCTATCTGACCAATCTGCTTCCTCTGGTCCCTTTTGGAATTCTGGTAGACACATTTCTTTCATCTTGTAAGTTAGGCTATAAGCCATAGAAGCTTGCAGAGATGCCACATTAGCACAGTGAATAACCCTAACTAAACTCCTATAACACCCCACACACTCAAACCCACACATACCTCCCAGACCTATGTGAACCCAAACATCCAGGGAGATAGCATTATTAGAAAGTACTCAGTTCCTAGTGGCCATCTTTAAGAATATTCAAGGTGGAACAAAAAGTAAATAATTTCCAACAGGTAAAAAGTGTTATTTTTTTTTTTCCCTCAGAACGAAGATGGCCAGAGAGTAAAATTGTATTTCCCAAGGGACATAAAAAGCATGTTCTCCAGGCATTCAACGCTGGAACCAACGGCAATGACCCAATAGGAGAACCCCTGCCTCGAGGTCTGGGATTTTGACTTTTTCAAGATTTGCTGTTTGTGAGGCATGTGTAAGGAAAAGGATTTAGCTAAAAGACCCTCTGTGTCCTCCACTTTGCAATATGTAAAATTATTCCTAGGCATCTGGCCAGCTTTTTCTTATCCCTCAGTCTTTGGCAGTTCAACTCATTCCTTCCATATTGAAACTTTTTTTTAGAAAAATCCACTCCCGAGGAAGCCCACAGAGTTCATATCCCAAATGTGCATCATTATTTGTGATAATGTAGGTATGAATTTCCCAGTTTCAAACCTACTGCCAACTGGATAAATATGAATAGAGGGAAGGTTTGCTAAGAGTACTGAAATTGATCCTTTCGTTGTTCTCTTTTTTTTCCCCCCATATATACCAACTTTGCTGTGTATCAGTTCTGGATCAGGAGATCCTAATTTAAGGACCCCAAGTTCAAAATTTTTAGAAGGCCAAGAGAACACGGTAGAGTTAAGAAAATCAGAAATGCTAGAATTGCAGGAAGCAGTTACCGATGATCTCAGCTCCTTGTAGCTCAAAAATTGGTAAATCTCAGAAGGACACAAAGAAATTACTGTTGTGTCTCATGTTTTAGTCTATCTATTATATGGGAACAATAATGTCTAAATTACTTCCAACTTTTATATCTTGATCAGTGCTTCTCACTTGCAGAATATATAGTGTAGTATGTAACTCTTCAGGTAGGGAGTCTAAGAGATGCCATTTCTAGGTTTCCACCTCCTGAAATGCAAAGGAGAGCACAGAAGGGGAAATAGCATTGAGCTGCCAATGAGCAATCCATCACATTTTATGACATCATTATCTCAGGGTAGTTATATGATATATTTATTCTCCTTTTTTAGGCATAATATTACCATGATTGCATGCACAATTGTCCATTCATTGGGCATTTAACAAATATTTGTCCAGTGCTTATTATTCCTAGGACTGGGGATGCAGAGATATCCTAGTCCTTGAGAATTTCATAGTCTGAAGAGGAAGCCATTTCCTTCCTCTTCAAATACCTAAAAATAGGTATTTTAAAGCACTGTGACAAGTGCCATAATAAAAAGATTACCAAAGTACAAAGATAGCATGGAGGAAGGGACCTTACCTTGTCTCGGAGAAGTCAACTACGTTTTCATGTAGGCCATGATGTTTGTTCTGGGAGGAAGAAGATGGGCATACCAGATGGAGAAACCAGGATGTGCAAAGCACAGAGAAGTTGCATGTGGCATAGCACGTGAAGATCAAAAGAACTCCCTTAAGCCAATTAATGAAAAAAGAATTGGATATGCATGAGGCCAAAGCTATTGGTGAAAATGAAACCTTTGGAATAGTAAAACTCTTGGCTTATTGAACCTACCATCACTTCTTATTCTTTTGGCTATGATCAAGTGTATTGGGACTGGCTACATTGATCTACTACCTCTCTGTCTCACACACACAAATATATGCATACACATGTACACATTGTGGAGTATGCCAGCCCTTTAATAGGTCCTTAGTTTAGCATTTCAAAGGTACTCATTTATTAATTTAAAAAATATTGGTTGGGTGACTAATATTTTGTTTATTTGTTTTGTTTTGTTCTTTGAGTCCATCACCCAGGCTGGAGTGCAGTGGCATGCTCACAGCCACCCCAGCATCGACCTGCTGGGCTCTGGCAATCCTTCCGCCTCAGCCTTCCAAGTAACCAGAACTACAGGCACGCGCTACCATGCCTGGCTAATTTTTTGATTTTATTGTAGAGACAAATTCTCACCAAGTTGTCCAGTCTGGTTTTGAACCCCTGGGCTCAGGCAATCCTCTCTCCTTGGCCCCCCAAAGTACTGAAATTACAGGCTTGAGCCACCGCACCCAGCCAGCTGACTAATATTTAACACGCCCTGTTCTAGTGTTAAACAGAACAGTGTTTATGGACTTGACATTCCAGTAGGAGAGATGGAAAAGAAACAAGTAAATAAATAATTACAAAAGATATTTCTCTGTGTTAAAGTGCTATGAGATACATAGTGATTGGAAATAACTACCTCAGTGAAGACAGTCAGTACAGGCCTTCTGAGGAGGTGAAATTTGAGTCCAGACCTAAAGGATGAGATGAAGCCAGTCATGCAGAAACATGAGGAAGGGGTATTTCTGGCCGAGGAAATAGTAAGTGCAAAGACCATAAAACAGAAATAAGCTTAATGTGGTCTAGGATCTAGGGTTGTAAATAAGATTCATGTGACTAAGGAACATGAAGGAGAGGGAGAAGGGTATGAGATGAGGTTGGAGAATTGCTGAGCACCAAATCATTCAGGACTATAAGGACGAAGGTAAAGATTCAAGAGTTTATTCCTAAAACATAGGAGGTCGTTGAGGAGTTTTATATGGGATCAGTATTATATGATCTACTTTTCAAATGCATTTGTGTCAAAAAGCACTAACCATAAAACAAAAAAAGTCAAATTGGACTTTATTAAATGGGATTTCATCAAAATTTTAAAGAGCTGCTCATCAAAGACACTCTTAAGAATATGAATAGACAAGCTATAGACTGGGAAAAATATTGACAGAATATATGTATGATGAAAAACATATCTAAAATATATAAAGAACTACTACTAGTTAACAATGAAACCCCCCCCCCACACACACACACAACAATGAGCAAAAGACTTAACAGATACTTCACAAAAGAAGACATACAACTGACAGGGAAATGGAAATTAAAATTTCGATGAAATGCAATTTCATACCCAGAAGAGTAGCTGAAAACAGAAAGACTGACAATGCCAAACTTTGGCAAGAATAGGAAGCACCTGAACCTCTCATGCATTGCTTAGTGTGTAAAATGGTAAAACCACTTTAGAAAACTGTTTGGCAGTTTCTAATAAAGTTAAGCATACACTGCCTACCCTTGACACCCCAATTCCACTCACAGATATTTACCTGAGAAAAAATAAAAACAAGTTCACAAAAAACTTTATGCAAAGGTGTTCAGCCATATTCATAAGAGTCCTCAATGGGAGAATGGATAAAAAACTGTAGTATATTCACACAGTGGAACATTATTCATCAATAAAAAAGAATGAACTACTGATATGCACAATGATATGGGTGAACATGATGCTAAAAAAAAGCCAAATACACAAGGGCACATATTGCATGAAGTCCAAGTAATAGGTAAAACTAATTTATACAGGTAGAAGTGAATGAGTGGTTGCCTGGGAGGGGAGGGGAATTTATTGGAAAAAGGTAAGAAGTGTGTGATTGAAATATTACATACCTTGCTTTGGCTCATGGTTGCATGAGTACCTACAATTGTAAAAGCTCATAAAACTGCACACCTGATCTGATCATTTTTGTATATGAATTATACCTTAATTAAAAACCACACATTTTTAAAGAAATGCACGTGTGCCCTGCCTTGAACTGTCAAGGTGTCTTTGTAAAATGTGGCATAATAGAAAGAGACTTGGAGTCAGACACACTTGGGTTCCAGTCCGGCTAACAGGTGACAGACCCTGGGCAAATTACCTAGCTTGATTCAGTTTCCACCTCTGCAAATAAAAATATAAACTTCACAAGATGACCTTGAAAATTAAATGAAAAATTGAGTATAAAGTATCTAACCCAATACCTGTCACCTGGGAGGTTCTCAATAAATTTAGCTATTTTTCAAAATTAGTTTTAAATAAACTGTAATCCTAAGGGTCCAATTAAAAACACATTTTATGTTTCTGCTTTGCAAATGATGCCATGTGCAATTTAAGACAAAAATTCGAAAATCAGAAGGAAAAACTGGAAAACAATAAGTTAAAGAAATCACTCTGCTATGTGAGAGAGACTGTGGACACAGCTGGTAGCTATCAATTACTTGTGATTATTACAGGAAAATCTGGCACCTTCTATGATCACACACAAATCCATCATCATCGTGTCCTACCTCATCTTTTACCAAATGTCAGCAGGAGAAGGAAAGGCTGCTTGGAATGGGGACCAAAATTAAAAAGCTGGGATTACTGAAGGTGGCCAGCTTCTACTTTTCTAAAGGAAACTCCCATTTTTACCTTTCCAGATGTCTTCATGACAAATTATTATGCAGTTTCAGGGTAATCTGAAGTTTAAATTAAGAATTAATGGAAACATAAGAACAGATCTCAAAGGCATCTTTGACCTTACTGCTTAATCCCTGGTCCCCGTTCCTCCTGCTAAATCGTCTTTCATTCCTCTGCCTGATCCACTTTTGAGAAATCAAACCCGTTAGAGCATCCCCTGGAGTGGCCCTCCCCTCTTGTCCTGTTGGCCCTGCTTGGGGAATGCTGAAGTAGGGCGGCAGCCCTCTGCTCAGAGGGCCTCCTCCTCCTCTCTTGGGTTTTTCTGGCAGATCCAGCTGGCCCGCAATAGCCACTCAGGCTGAGATCCCAGGACCCCATTCTGGCCGCCATTTCCACCAGTCATTACAACAAGTTAGTTGGGGAAAACAAGATTTAAAGGACCCCTTGCACTGTGAGATGGCTTTATCTCTGTATGCTCCTTAAAGAACCAGACCGGCAGCCAACCAGAAAACTGCTCATGGTAGTCTTGGGCCATGTTCTCTCCAGCCCATCATCATTTCTCATTTGGGGCTGCCATGACATTTCATTTCCTTTCTGCAGAGCCTTTTTGGGAGCCTGGTAACTGGTCACAGTGTTCTGCCACCTGTGGCCACTTGGGAGCCCGCATTCAGAGACCCCACTGTGTGATGGCCAATGGGCAGGAAGTGAGTGAGGTCCTCTGTGGCCACCGTCAGAAGCCACGGGCTGGGTTTCAGCCCTGTAACATCCGGGACTGCCCCGCGAGGTACGTGAGGTTGCTCTTCTTATCTCATCAATACCAAAGGCACAGTGATTTGGACATTATAACTCAATAGCTAAGATTTTTTTTTAGCACTCATTTGTCCAGGCATCCTGCTAAGTAAGTGTTCTACATGGATCACTTCACAATCGTCTAGGAGGTAGATGTTGTTAATTTCCTATTTTGCAGATGAAGAAACTTCCTGAGGCCATACAGTTAACAAGGGCCAGAATTCAAATGGAGATAATCTGACTTCAGAGTCCTTGCTCTTAATCACTACCCAAATCTGCTTCCTGCACTCACAGTGCCCATCAGTTCCTTAAGATCTTAGTGAGACTGATTTCATGGATTTACCTAGGAGATAATACAGTGGGCCTGAATCAGCAGAGGCACTAGTTAAAAACACAGTTCCCTGATCTTAAACCATGGGAGGACCAAACTCACCTGCACATACATCACTTATGCACCTAATCCTGACTTGTACCCCACATCTTTTATTAAAATAAAGTAAAACAAACAAACAAAAACTCTGTTCCCTAGGTGTGACCCCTGGAAGTAAAGCCATTAATAACCTTTCTAAGTAATATATCAGTAATTTTAAGATGTCCAGAATCAAACTCATGATGTCCACCAAACTTAATCCATCCCTAGTGTTTCAGATCTCAGTGGCTGCATGCTAGACTCCCTTCTCTCTCTCTCTCTCTCTCTCTCTCTCTCTCTTTCACTCTCTCACTTCCCTCCATTCTTGTTCATTTCTACTGTGCTGTAGTCCAAGCCATCACTGTTTCTCACATGGACTACTCCAGGAAGCTCCTAGTTCTTATCTCCCTCTTTGCCCACTCTGTAAGAATAGCAATCTTTTAAAACAAATTCATCATGTTGATCTTCTGCTTAAAACCTGTCAATGACTTATTGTTTGGACAAAGGCCAAACAATCCTGACATCTGGGACTGTGTTTATCTTGAATGCAGTTTTATCCCCAGTATCTAAAAATAGTGCCTAGCACATAGTAGGTGGTCAGTAAATAGTTGCTGACTGATTGAATAACTGAGTGAAGACACTGAAATCCCTTCATATGTGGGCCTTGAGCCTTTCGGCCTCATTGCCTATCTTTCCTACCCTGGTCAGCTGATCTCCGTTCATGCTGGTCTTTTTTTTAGTCCTTGTTGTGCTCATCTCTTTCCTGATTCAGAGCCTTTACATATCCTACTCCCTCTGTCTAGATTAGAACATTGTTCTCTCCCTCTTCACTTAATGATTTCTACTCATCTATATAGGAGAGGGACTAAAAAAAAAGCACCCAGAATTTATAAAGAATTGTGTATTTATTCTTACATGTTTAAACGTCAGTCACCTTCAAAGTATTCTTATGTTGGATACAATACACGTAACCAGATTCTTTTTCTACTGCTCAAAACAGCTTTTTAACTTGTCGATTTTGATTCCTTTTTGTGCCCTTTGTTTATTTGTTTGTTTGTTTGTTTTGGGAGGAAGGTTGAGTTGAAGTCTTGCTCTGTCACTCAGGCTGGAGTGCAGTGGCACACATTCATGGCTATCGCAATCTTGACCTGCTAGGCTCAAGTGATCCTTTCGACTCGGCCTTCCAAGTAGCTGGAACTATAGATGCACGCCACTATACCCATCTACAATAAATTTAAAAATTAGCCTCTGCCATCTTTTGTTTCACCTTTTCTACTTTAGCAAAACATTTCCTTTTGAGGTATTTTCTCATTGGGGTAAATAGGGAGAGTGGGGTAGGGGGGTCATGCTGTTTTTGGTCAAAAACCACTAATCACTTAGTGCAGTGTGGGCAGATATGCTCCTCAATCACCCATCATGAAATGATTGAACACATTGAAAGAATCTCAGAAAAATTCACTGAAGCTGAACACAGCCTCTTATAACACTAGCTGGTACACTGATGCCGATGGGTTCCTAGAACACTTATCTAACAGGAGAATCCTATACTACAAGGGGCCCACCCTCCAAAAATACAGTTCTGTTCTTTTTGAGAGTGTCTCCCCTTGTATACCTCAATACTTCTCCAAGAACACTGTCTCTGACCTTAGCCCTTCAAAATAAATTAGGCCTCTATACTATATGAATTTTATCTTTCTTTATCATTCTTTTTTATAGTTCTTACCATAATCTATCTTTCTCTCCCACTAGACTGTGAATTTGTGAGAGTAAATCAGTCACCGTTTTGCTCAACAATTTATTCCTAGCACTTAACACAGTGTCTGCTCCATCAGATAACACTCTAAAAATACTTATAAAATGGGTGAATAAATGAACAGCATAGACCCTAGCAGATAACTGACCAAGTAGTACCAAAATCTACGATAAAAATTTAACAAATAAAGAGGCATTCATTGAGTACAAACTGATGAGGAAGATACTATTATCAACCTCATTTTACCAATGAGAAAATGGAGGAAGGTTTAACGTTATACAGCTCCCTGCCCTTGTGCCAGTGCCCACACTAGGTCCAACTATCCCAAATATGAAGGGATTTCAGTTTCTTCACTCAGTTATTCCATCATTCCGCAAATATGTACTGATCACCTACTAAGTGCTCTTGGAAGAGAGTGGGAGGCAGGGTCACCCTGCGAAGCAAAATAGTTGTCTTGGGGAATGTCCTTAGAAGGGCTTTCAATATTGCAGCCACCCTAGTGGACATGTCTTCCAATAACCACTGTGACTCTTAAAAAGAGGAACCCATGTGAAGGATCACACCTCGGAAGGCTGCCAACCTGTGCTACGCTAGCTAGGATGATATCCAAGAAAGCTCCTTTTCATGTCAATTCTTGATTTTTGTTAAGTGGAGAGAATCCACATTGGGAAATTGATCAGCAACCTTGCTCCTCAAATATCCTCAAGTCTTTGTACACTCCTGGAATACACAGAGTCATGCATGTTCATACCTAGAGGAGCCCACCGAGGTCATCTAATCCCGGATCCCTCTACCTCAAGGGCCTTTCACACTTCTGTGCCAAGGCCCCTCTGGTAAACTGAGGAAGCCTTTGGATACCTTCTTATGGCACAGTTTTGAAATATACAAAATAAAATACATGTGGTTACAAAGGAAACAAATTATATTGAAATATGGTTATTGAAATATTTTTAAATGTGTGATGTAGTAATAAATTTGTTTATTAACACAGTAAATAACAAGGTATAATTGTACTTTACTTTTGAAATGGTGATGAATATACATATTTTGAGATACCTGCTACAAAGGTAATGTGATATAGAAACACCTATGACTTCTATTGGTAACAAAAGAGAAAGCACAGGTATTACTAATACTACTATACGTTTTTACAATTGAAGGGAATACCAAATTTCAGATAGAACTTAGTGACAATGAGGAGGTGATTCCTTTCCCATCCCAGTACATAGTTCCCTTGGATAACCATGGGCCTTGGGTTAGAAACCCCTGCTCTACAGTATCCCAGAAGCAGCTTAAATATCTTTAATGATGAAGCACTCAATATCTCACAGGTGTTCAGCCAAGTTCAGTCTCCTATAGTCATTAAAGCATGAACTTTAGGGTCACATCAATCTAGAATCCAAACCTAGCTCTGTTGGCAGGTTAGTCATGTGACCATAGCCAAGTTATTTAACATACTGGACATCAGTTTCTTCCTTACAGGAATGGAAATAACACAAGAATTCTATAAGATAATGTGCAGAGGGAACAGTATGCAGATGCTTGAGAAGTATTTTCTTACTTTTTGAAATTTCCACCTAATGTTGCCCTAGCTTTGCCCTCTAGGGCAACACAAGTAATGACTCTGCATAAACTGGAAAATGGCTCTACCCCAGCCCTATGTTGGTCATCTCTGCATGGTGACTCTGTGGTTCCCCTGAGTAAAAGAAGATCTTAGAAAAAGGCTGGGCATTATCAACACTGCTGTTCATTCCCATAGAGATATGTGACAGCCCTGAAACATATGGTGTTAGGATCAACTTTTTCTTTTGGCAAGACTCCCTATAAGGTCTGGCATACCAGTCCTTACTAAAGTCCTGTAGTTTTTTTTCCTAGGTGGTTCACAAATGTGTGGTCAGAGTGCTCTGTGTCTTGTGGTGAAGGATTTCACAGTCGGCAAGTGACATGCAAGCAGACAAAAGCCAATGGAACTGTGCAGGTGGTGTCTCCAAGGGCCTGTGCCCCTAAAGACCGGCCTCTGGGAAGGAAGCCATGTTCAAGTCCTCCATGTGTTCAGTGGGAACCAGAGAGCCAGGTAAAGCTAACAAATCCATTGTGTGGGCGTACTATATATAGTCATCAATTTGTTTCTAATAAACTACTTCTTAGGGGGAGAAATCTGATTAGTCTCTGAAATGCATGAATGTCCTTGACCTCAAGGTTTACATTTGGAAATCAGTGTCTCTGTCTTCCAGTACAAAAGTGAACCAAGTTCAAGTCGTTTGAATGCAGTGGTACAATAACAGAAGCTCTGAGATCCATTTGAAGCAGTAAGAATAAGAGTAACTCTCAAGAAGAGGAGAGGAACACTAGTGTAGCAGCATCTGCACAGAAGTCTCAGAACCTATATCCTAAATGCCATCTTCAATAAGTTATAATAAAAATACTTAGGGCAAAAATTGTAATATGTAGGAACCCATAAGGAAAAATACAACCTATTATTGAAGCACATAAAGGAAAAGTTGAACAAATAAGAGACCTATTATATTCCAGAATGGAAAAATATGTGTACTATAAAGATGTCCATTTCCTGAAAGGAATTCATCCATGTAATACAATTTCAATGAAAATCACAGTAGAATTTTTTTTGTAGAACTTAAGATAATTCTGACATTCACATGGGAGATAATATAACAATAAAGATAAGACACTTTTAGAAAAAATTATTGGAGGTGTAGAGAGATTTACCTCATCCTATGGCAGGACATAATGCAAAACTGTTGTAAGAAAAATAGTACAACATCAGTGCAGGAAGAGACACAGACTATGGCGTATAATTAGAACACAGAAAAAGACCCATGTTAAGTGGGCTTAAAGTTTAAAGGCAGTTAGTCATAGGAGAAACATCATTTTTAAAAATTGAGAGTATAAATCTACAAAAATTTTTCAAAGAAACTAAATAAGATATAAATAAATAGAAAGATAAAAGACATATTGCTAATAACGCAACAAATTTATCTACAGATTCAAAGCAATCTCTATCAAAATTTTACCTAGTTTTTTCACAGAAATTGACAAGCTGATCCTAAAATTCATATGGAAAAAGAAGGAACTGAGAATAACCAAAACAATCTTTTTTTTTTTAAACTACAGGGAGGACAATGAATACCTAATAACAAAAAATAAGCCAGATAGAAATTATTTGACAGTTCTTTCCCACTCCAAGTGGTATGTGTAGGTGGAAAAGTAAATATAAACTAGTAACTGCTTTCAAAATTAGAAGAGTTGTTTAAAGAAGCATTTTTCTAGCCGAGTGTGGTAGCACACGTCTGTAGTTCCGGCTACTTGGAAGGCTGAGGCGGACGGATTGCCAGAGCCCAGCAGGTTGAGGCTGCGGTGGCTGGGAGTGACCACTGCACTCCAGTCTGGGTGACAGAGTGAGACTCCAACTCAAAATAAATAAATAAATAAATAAGCATTTTCTTCAAACTATGGATCTTGACTCATTTGTAAATTTTGGCCTGCATTTTTTTAAAGGGTAAGATATGGGAAGAGAAAAAGAAGAGAGTACATAACAGATTTTATCACATGTAATAAGCATAAGAAAACAATCTTTAAAAAGAACAGAGTTGCAGGACCAAAACTGCCTGATTTCAAAGCTTACTAGAAAGTAGGCTGGGCACGGTGGCTTACGCCTATGGTGGCTTACGCCTATAATCCCAGCACTTTGGAGGTTGAGGAAGGGAGGGTTGCTTGAGCCCAGGAGTTTGAGATCAGTCTGGGCAACATAGTGAGACCCCCTCTCTAAAATAAACAAACAAACAAGCCAGGCAAGACCTCCTCTCTACAATAAATAAGTAAACAAACAACCTGGGCGAGACTTCCTCTAAATAAATAGGCCGGGCATGTTGGTGTGTACCTGTAGTCCCGGCTACTCGAGGGGGAGACTGAGTCCAAAGGATGACCTGAGCCCAGGAGATTGAGACTGCAGTGAGCTGTGATCATACCACTGCACTCCAGCCTGGGCGAAAGAGTGAGAGTCCAACTCAAAAACGAGCAAACAAAGCTTACTTAAAAGTTAAAGTAATTAAGAGAGTGTGATGATGGCATAGGAGAGACATATAGGTCAATGAAATAGAATTGAGTCCAGAAGTAAACTCATATGCCTGTATTAACTAGTGTTCTATGAGGTTGACAAGACCATTCAATTGGGGAACGATAGTCTTTTTAGCAAGTAGTGCAGAACAACTGGATAGTCACATACAAAAAATGAAATTGGACTCCCTACTTTACATCATATACCAAAAATTAACTTAAAATAGATCAGAGTCTTAATTTAAAAGCTAATACTATAAAACCCTTGGAAGAAAAATGGGTTTAAATCTTTATGCCCTAGATTAGGAAATGGACTCTTAGATATATAACACCAAAAGCGTAAGCAGCAACAACAAAAATAGATAAATTGGACTACATCTAAATTAAATACTTTTGTGCTGCAAAGGGCACCATCAAGAAAGTAAACAGACAACAACTATATATCAAAAAGGAACTTATATCTAAAATATATGAAGATGCTTACAACTCAATATTAAAAACAATAACCCAATTAAAACATCAACAAAGGCTCTGAATAAAATTCTTTTTATTAAAGCACATGAAAAGATGCTTGTCATTAGTCATTAAGGAAATGCAAATTAAAACCACAGTTAGATACCACTTTACACACATTAGGATGGCATTAGTCAAAGAAGGAGATGGTAACAAATGTGGGTGAGGATCTGGAGAAGTTGGAACCTTTATACACTGCTAGTGGGAGTACAAAATGGTCCAGCCACTTTGGAAAACAGTCTGGTGATTCCTCTAAACGTAAAATGTAGAGCTTCTGTGACCCAGCAATTCTGTTCCTAGGCATATATCCAAGAGACATGAAAGGAATGTCCACACAAAAAACAAGTAAATGAATATTCACAGCAGAATTATTCATAATGTACCCAAACAACCCGAATGATAACAACCCATAGTAACCAAAAAGAGGAAACCAACCAATGAGTAGATAAACGGTCATATGTCTGTATAACAGTATTTGGCTATTAAAAGGAATGAAGTACTGATACATGCTAAAACATGGCTGAACCTTAAAAACATTACGGTAAGTGAAGGAAGATGAACACAAAGGGTCACATATTATATGACACCATGTATACAAAGTGTCTGGAATATGTAAATCTAGAGAGATCCATGGTTGCCTAGGCCTGGAGAAAGACAATGGGAGGAATTGGACATGACTGCTAAAGGTATGGGGTTTCTTTGGGGGATCATGATAATGTTTAGTGAATTGTATGGTTTGTAAATTATATTTCAATACAGCTATAGCAAAAAAAAAAAAAAAATTAAAGCTACTATGTGGGAAATTAGTTAACTAATATAAGAAAAGTAGTATCAGAGCCCAAACTCAGAATATACACCAAAATAAATTCTGACTTAGAGAGCTAAGTGTGTAATTAAACTCAAATAGAGCTCTCATAATGGAGAAAACCCTTTCAAGCCTAAAATAAGGTATAAGGAAGAGTTAATAAGCATTATTATGACTACATAAAAATTTAAGAAAGCACATCAAAATTTCTTTCATTTTTTTTTTTTCTGTTATTGAACTTACCTAAGCACATGAGCCTTCATTTTTGCTCACAGTGGAAAGCCTCAAGATTTTGCAGTTGCTTACGATTTTAAATGTAGTCATTTCTGGACTTAAGCCCAATCAATTCAAGATTTGCCCTGTCCTATTCCCTTGGCCCAGAGGTGGTCTGTTTTAAGGGAGAGAAGGGTGGAAAGCTTAGGTATCTTCCTGGCTCTGAAGGAAGGGTGTCTGGTTCCCAGAGCTGTGTTCTGATTCTTTCTAATTCCCCATGGAGACAGTCGGTCTCCTAGTAACTGGTCTTTTGCTATCTAGCCTCAGGACATGATCTTGGTGCAGACAACATTCATGAGCTTTCAGGGTTTACACCACATTGTGCTTTTGTTCCAGTGTCCTGGTCGCTGCATGGGCCGTGCCATGAGGATGCAGCCACGTCACACAGCCTGTCAACACAACAGCTCTGACTCCAACTGTAATGACAAGAGGAGGTAATGGCCCCACCCTAGGGTAGCACATGTCTCTCTTGCCTCATTCAATGACTATAACTGCCTAAAAAATAAAGTTATTTCTAATTTCCATCACCTCTCATAATTGATAATTTCCTATTAAATCATGATTGATTTAGTGCCGTCCCCAACAGTATATACTATACTGAAAATTAGTTCATATGTCCTTTATAATTACAAATTATTTGGACATTAAACATAAAGAGAAACCACCCTAAAGAGGAAAAAAGGGGTAGCAATGAGGATCGGCAGATATTTCTCCCTTTCTATACAAAGTTGATCAAGCCTAATAATAGTTCCTTCAGGTTTACACATTAAATCTTCCTAATGTTTTTAATGAACTGCCTTATTCCTCTGTTTAGAAACTGTTTTGATTAGAATATTGGCATAATGGTTTAGCAGATAATAAAATAGTCGTTTATCTTGTTGAGTAGATTGCTTTGCTCTTGTATAAAAGTCTGAGCTAGTGAACGGTTTGGAGTAGAAGAGCTTTGTTCCTGAGGTCATCCAGAGATCCAGATGCCTTCCATCTGGCAGGTCCTCCCTTCCGGAAACTAGCACCCCAGCCAGCAGAGAGTGGGGAGAGAGCCTAGAAGGCACACTCATCAGGGGCTTTGGAATTCTGTCACTCTCTTGTTGTGTGACCTTGGACTACCTAACCACTTAAGCTTCAAAATGGGGTTTTGTTATCCATGTAAACTTGTGGTTGGAAAGTTTTAATTATTTTGCTTAGTGTAAAGCCCATAAGCCGCCTGGGTCATGAAAAATGCTCGATATCTAGCTGTCTCTTCCCTTTCTACATCCTGAGTCTTGCTGGAGAAAATGGGATGACCTTGTCAGTTGGCTCAGGTACCACTTTGAGCCTTTTGTAAGGTTTGGCAATATAGAGTCAGCTGCATCTCCTACTCCCCACAATGTGACTTCAAGCCAGGACCGTTCTCCTCACATGGAAACATTTGGAATGACTGCTCTCATTCTCAACAGACAACCTAGTTTCCTATTTTGCTGAGAAGACAGGGACCACACACAGACTGCTGTGCATCATATCATCCCAGATGTTTTACTTTGCATTCACAAAGATATATTTGCAACACAAATAAATACATACGTGGATTGAACTTTTTAAAAACATATTATACATATTTTTTCTGGAACTTGCTCTTTCTACTTAAGAATATATCATAGACTTCTCCCATCAAGTAAAAATTAATTTTATTCTTTTAAATTATTGTACTTCATATTCCATTATTCTGTTGCTGATGGACTCTTTTTTTATTTTTTATTTTTTTTATTTTTATTTTTTAAACATATCTTTTATTTTTAAATTGTGGGGTACAGTTAAGGGTTAGGTATATAAATATGCATCATTCAGGCACCCTTGTTGATAAGGAGTGTCCCCCCATCCCCAGACAGATATTGGCTACCATTAATCCCACCTCCCTTCCCCTCTCTGTCCCCCCCATAGCTTCCTGCCACTGTCAATCATTTTCCCATAGTATAACGACAGAGGTTCAGGGTCCACTTATGAGTGAGAACATGTGACACTCAGATCTTTGTTTCTGTGAGAGATCACTCAGTATTATAAACTCTAGTTCCATCCAGGTTGCTGCAAAATTCATGATTTTGTTCTTTTTTATGGCTGCGTAGTATTCCATATGTATGTATATGTACCACATTTTTTTAATCCAGTCCTCTTTTGATGAACAGCATGGTTGGTTCCAGGTTCTTGCTATTGTGAACAATACTGTGATAAACATACATGATTTGAGTTCTTCAGGGCATATCCCCAGTAGGGGGATTGTGGGGTCATATTGGAGGTCAATATTTAGAGCTTTTAGGAATCGCCACACTGTTTTCCACAGAGGTTGCACTAGTTTACACTCCCACCAACAGTGTAGAAGTGTTCCCTTTTCACCACATCCTTTCCAGCATCTGTTATTTTTTGAGTTATTGATAATGGCCATTCTGACTGGAGTTAGGTGGTATCTCGGTGTGGTTTTGATTTGCATCTCCTTGATGATTAGTGAGGTTGAACATTTCTTCATGTGTCTGTTGGCTGCTCGGATGTCTTCCTTTGAGAAGTATCTGTTCATATCTTTTGCCCACTTTATAATGGGGTTGTTTGGGTTTTTTTTTTTTTCAGCACGTTTGAGTTCCTTGTAGATCAAAGATGTTAAGCCTTTGTCAGACCTGGAGTTGGCAAATACTTTTTCCCAGTCTGTGGACT